AATAGTATTGATTAGCGATTAGTATAGTTATTGGTTAAGAGTGAGAGAGAGAGACTCATCAGTTAGATATTTAAAATATGTAAAATTCAACTAAACATCAAACCTGATATCAAATACACAATTTATTTTTGAGTTTAATGTTTACAATACCAATAATCATAATAATAATAATAATCAGTTTAAAAAATTATACAATATTTGTATTAAAATGGATTAAAAAGTAAGCGATATGTAATCAAATTGAGCAAAAAATTAGCAAACAATCAGATTTTAAAAATTAAATGTACAATAATTAAGGAATAAATTATTGTAAATGATAATAAAAAATAAGTAATTATAATAAAGTAATTAATTGTATAATTTTAAAAAGTGTTCACATTTTTGATGAGCACTGAATTGAATTATCATTGTTTTCAATATCATAGGAATTTGTGGCGAAATCGCCGCCAACTTCACAGCTCTGATGCAATTGTTCAATAATTTGGTCGAAAATGATTGGTTCCGTGTTATCCTTCAACTGTTAAACAAAACAATTTAATTAAATTTAATATCAATTTAATAAACAAATAATAAACAGATAACTGAATACCAAAAGCAATATAAACCAATCGCCGAGCGGTAGTCCGCAGACAAATCGTTTGTACCGATTCTGGCAATCGGTGATCGACTGTATATCACTTCCGAGGGCGTAATAACGGATTAGCGGACATGTCATGAGAATGAGTCGATATATGAGCGTAAATCCGGTGATAATCGCCAGAAAGTAAAACCAAAACCATATGAAGAGAAACATCTTCTGATTCAATATATTGAGCGATAGGACACACAACGCGTCTAACTCTACGCGTCCTCCACTCGACCCAAATTTATCAAAACGGCATTTACTTAAAAGCGGGAACAGCTGTTCAAATAAGATAATTGGTCAATACATGGATCAATTAACAATATAATCATTAATCTATGTATAAATACCATTTCCATTGGATCCTGAAGTATAGATGGGTCCGCTATCCACCACTTGACCTGATCCATACCGAAAGTGATAAAACCCTTATCAAGAAAGTGATGGTTGAAAAGGATTTGACCGCAAACTACACAAAAGGCCAAGAATTCGCAGCCATAGTATTCAATGGCTAACCCATCGTTACGACCGATGGTTGACCGCAAAAAGTGGACGACTTGCGCGATCTTCTGGTGCCGTTTGTTCGGGTCGTCGACGAAGTACTGCATATCCGATGAGACGATCGATGAAATCCTGTTGGACTCGAAACGCTTCCAGAGATAGTGCGGGAAATAAAAGCACACCGACTGCAAGAGTAGGACCAACCAAACCCATTGATAGTAATGGTGTTCACCATCACCCGGCGGATGGTCTCCGTGGGGGCCGAGGTTTGGACGATTGGCATACTGTGGCCCGCCGTAGACATTAGTGGTGAACCTTACGTAACAAAAAGTGTTGATCATATTGACATCCATGGCATTAGTGGCGACCTCGCAATCGATTGGTCCGCCGATGGCCTGTTTGGATGAGATGACGATACAGAAGGCCATCAACACAATGACGGTCAGCGTGTAGTGCAGTCTGAAGACCAGTCCCTCGGTCTCGGTCTCACGTCTTCGCCACAGTTTGGCCAACGTTGCGAACAACGGTATCATGTCTTAAGGTATGTGTTAACCACCGATGGCTATCCCGAGTGATATAATGATGTGATAATTGTGCTGTCAATGTGTGGTGTCTTTCAATGGTTAACGCCTTTGTGTGAAACTCAAAGCATGTATTTTTTTTGCCAGAAATTTGAAACTTTTTTTTGTTGCAATAGTTTTTGACGGCTTTTTTGGTGTATTTTACAGTGTATTGCAAATTGCATTGTCTTTACGTAAGCTTTGAATGCATTGTCAATGAATGCATTCATTCAATGCATTTTCAATGGCTTTTCCATACATTACTGTAAAATTGCATGAAATTTGAAATGCATTACAAGTTTGTGTTGTTTTGTGTGTGTTTTTGGTAACTATTATAAAGTTTTGTTAGTTTTTTAATAGTTTTAATTTATAACTTAATCATGGTGTGAAATATATATCCAGGTGATTTTAATAACCCATGGGATGTGTGCCATGAATGTCATCCGTAAAAACATGGCGAGAAGCACTGAAGAAGTGGCCAAAGATCACCGCATGGATCTATTGGGTGATAAAGTGGTGGTATATTTCAATTAACTTAATTGTTTTAATTGATATTAATTAATTAACCATGATTTTGAATGTAGCGATGATTAGCGTAAACCCAATGATAAACTTTATGGTCAATTAATTGGCTATTATTGAGCTCGAGATGAATCGCGCGATCGCTTAAAACAATGTAAATTTGAATTACAATTTGTGAATACATTCTATGTTTTGAGCGTTAAATTCATTATCAGTTTTACTTCACATAAACTTCAGTTCAGTTTTACATTGCATTACATTTTGTGTCCACTTTTAAGACAATTTCTCTTCATATTTAACCACCGATTGTCTAAACAAATCAATCGTTTAATCCTATAGTTTGGCTGTAATTGTGGCCTAAATTATGGCGTTTTGGAGACAATTCGTTGCGCTCCAGAAGAAGGATTGGATAATACGGTCGCGCAATCCGATCGCCACTGTCTTCGAGCTGTTCCCGGCGGTAGTGTTGGCGCTGGTGTTCGCCCATTTCTTGAGAAACACCAAATACGCGGACCTCTACATCGACCCCAACGAGAAACTCGAGCCCTACGTCTATAAACCGCCGCCAATGGCCGGACCTCCACCGGCAACGATTGACGTGACCCGAGCGCCGGCCCATAAGGAGGTCTACTACACGCCGGCCAACGTCTACACCACGGGTCTGATGAAGACATTGGTTAACATCACCGGTTGGAACCTAACGGAGATGACTAGTGGCGAAGAGGTGCGCGAAGTGGTCAGTCGTGTCGAGAATAAGTCGTCGACGACACCAATGCCGCGTCCGGGAGGACAAGTGGTCCACTCGTCCGACACGAAAGTGGGCCTCATATTCGAGGACACGTACGGCACGGTTTGGTCGCATCTCAAGTATACGCTGATCGCCAAAAGCCTGGAGACCATCGCCTCCTTCACCAATCAGAGGGACGACTCGTCGGGTGGCGTAACGAACGGCGACTATCCGTCTTATTATCTGAGGAATAACTTAGCGGACGTTATTGCGCTCATAAACCAGGCGTTTCTGACCAAAGCGGCCAAAGATAATGGCGTGAGTGCGCCGACGATCAAGTCGTTGGACCTCAAAGTGTTTCCGTTGCCGAAGAAGCTGTACGAACAACAGGAAGGCTATTCAAGCCAGCCGTACCCGAGCGGCCGAATGGAACATCGCGTATCCAGAGGTGATATCATTTCGGTGGCCATTGTCTTGGGTTATATCGTGTTGTATCCGCTGATCGTTCGCCGAGTAATGACCGAAAAGGCCAATAAAGTGAAGGAATTGATGAAAATGATGGGAATGAGTGATTGGGTCTTCTGGGCGTCACATTTCATCAATTATCTGCTGGTGATGTCAGTCCACGCGTTGATCTTCACATTCCTCTGGTGTTACGGCACGACGACAATCGGTTACGGCTCGGGAATCCCGATACTTAACCGACAAAATGTGGTCCTATTTTTCGTAATCTTTTGGATCTTTTGCATCCAAACCATACTCTATTGCATGGCATTCACCACAGTCTTCAACAACTCAGTGCTGGCGGTGATAGTGATGGTCATCGCGTATATACTGGTGTATGGCATTGGTGTCATCAAATATCACCCGATGTTTACCACTCATGAGAACGACTATAACGCTATGCGACTCCTCCTAACGATGTACCCATCGTTTGCCATCACGTGGTCTATGTCTTTGTTGAGCCGCTGGGAGTGGTATGGCGTCACTGTTGGCCTCAAAGAGCTCTTCGCGAAGACACCATTCATTGAACTCAGTTTAGCCGAAGTCCTAAGCGTTCAGATCTTTTCGTGCTTTTTCTGGGCGGCAATGATCTGGTATTTGGACGCCGTTTGGGTTCACGACGACGGCCTCCCGAAGCCCTTCTACTTCCCGTTTCAGCCCTCCTATTGGTTCCCACAGAGGGTTAGCGCAGACAAAGA